TCAGTTTGGTTTGGACTCCCGTAAGCATAGTGATGGTTTTCTGCATGTTTTCAGACACTGATGGAAACGTCACCTGTTCTGAAAATATTTATCCTAAGGAGAACAGTAAACCTGTCTAGGTGCTTTCTGGCAAAAAAATAAACAAAGCAATATTTAAGTTTCTTTTAGGTTTACACTTAGCTCGTCGCAGTCACAAATGACATCCTCTCTATCTGGGACCAGGGCACCTTCTGCCTCCTCGTCCTCCTGGAACTCTCTGCCACGTTTGACACAATCAACCATGCCATCCTCCTCCACCGCCTCGCCTTCCTCATCCACCTTCGTGGGACCGCACCCGCATGGTTCAACTCCTACTTAGCCAACCACCTCCGTTTCATTTCGGCAAATGGTTTCTCCTCCCTCCCCCATCCAGTCACCTGCAGGGTACCACAGGATACACCCTTGGCCCTCTTCTTTTTCTTATCTATATGCTCCCACTGGGCTATGTCATCCGGGGGTAAACTTTCACATGTATGCGGATGACACACAAATCTACTTTGCCTCCTCCAGTACCGCTTGAGGTCCACTGATTTTCTAACAGCTTGTCTGGCAGACATCAGGGCTTGGATGAGTGTAAACTTCCTGCAGTTTAATGTGGACAAGACGGAAGCCATACTCCTTGGTTCCCATCAACGTCTTCACTCCTGCGGATCTGAACTCCTCAACCTCTCACGGCTCTCCCTCAGACGCACTGAACCAATGCACAAACTAGGCATCCGGGCCTAGGACCCAGCTGTCCTTCCTCCTCCATATCTGGTCCCTGACCAGGACCGCCTTCTTCCACCTCTGCTACATTGCCAGCCTCCGACTGTACCTTACCCCAAATGCAGTCGAAACCCTCGTACATGTATTTGTCACCTCCTGCCGGCACTCCTCGCCAATCTCCCCACCGCCACTATTCAAAAGATCCAACTCATTCAGAAACCTCCCGCCCTCCTACTTGCCTGGACCAAACTCTGAACCCACATCTCACCAGTTCTGGCCCTGCTCCACTGGCTCCCCATCACCGAACGGATCGACTTTAAGATCCTCACACTCGTGTTCAAATCCCTTCACTCCCTGGCACCTCCCTCCGTCCCCAACCTCCTCACTCCCCAATCCATCACCTGGCGCCACTGCTCGACTGGCACCGGCCTCCTGCTTGTCCCTCGCACCCTCCACCTCACCATCGAAGGACGCCCTTCCAGCCACTATGCCCCAAAACTCTGGAACACTCTTCCTCAATCCTTCCACCTTGCCACCTCTCTCCTCCTTTTCAAGTTCCGCCTGAAAACCTTTCTCTTCGACCGTGCTTACAGCCACCTGCACCCCGCACCCCCTCCACTCTTGGCTCAGAGTCAGGCTCCGCTACTGTGAAGCGCTCTGAGACGCTACCGTGGGTGGAGGGCGCTATACAAGTACAAGTTGTTGTTGTTGTTGTACGCTTCCCATCATTATAGGAATAATATTCTTTCCATTTTATATCGCACCTTTCACATCGGGAGGACATCTCAAGGCACTTCACGTGATTTATTATAAAGTGTAGTGATTGTTTATTTATTTTAAAATGGTGCCTGCTGAACTACATGTTTGAGCACCAGCAAGAATTGCACAATAAGGCTTTTGGCCCACAATCCTTACATTGCTGAGTTCTCAATCTCACCTCCCACAACAAAACATTACACCTACATGACTGAAGGACGTGTTGATCAGAGGTCACGTGCTTCCCCATGGGTGGGTAGGTCGAGAAGGGGGCATCAAATCAGCGATGGCCATCAGTGAACTATGCTTCTCAGAATACATCACTCATCCTTTCACGTTCGCCCACAAATATACAGTCAATTCACTTTACAGTCTATTCTGTGAAGCGCTTTGGGACGTCCTCCCGACGTGAAAAGCGCTATATCAAATGCAAGGATTATTATTATTATTATTATTATTATTATCCACACCTGTTCCGCTGTCCCAAACAGAAAGAAAATGAAGCAAAATAGATTTGTACTCAGAAAATAAATTAAGCAAAGCAATGTTCTTTCATAAAATGTACGCACTTTGTTTTACAAATTAGTAGAACTGTTGTACCTTGAATGTACTGTTATATACTGTTTAGTTTCCAATAGAACCAACGAGAATATATGAAAAATGTATAAGTTGTCAAAACTTGCAATTATTATAAGGCTCTCATTTATAATATAATCTTGGATAATTCCAAACCTTATCATCTTGGCTCAATTTGCACGTCTGTACTCCGTGTCAGAATATTGTGAGTTCAAACTTTGAAGTGGCACTCCAGTGCTGTACTGGGGGAGTGCTGCATTGTCAGATGTAGTTAAAGGTACCATGACACTAGTTGAAAAGTGAATGGAGTTTCTCTCAGTTATCAAGCCTGGCTTCAACCCTCCAGATTAGTTGGTCATTCACTTCATGGCACTTTGTAGAAACTTACTGTATGCCAATTCGCCACCACATTTGCCTACAGGGCGTATTATAATTGCCAGGAGTTGTGCATAAAGTGCTTTCATACATTTTGAATTTCTAGAAGCTGTAGCAAATGCGTGATTATAACTTTACATTTAATACTAAATAATAAATATAATCCGCACTGATTATACAGTACATGCAAAATAATTTGTTTTGCAGATGATGTTCTGATGAAGTTCTATTTATTTTTTAAATGATAAACATTTTAGTTAATTTGTCACTGTTTTCTAAACATTTTTTATGTTCATATATAGCACATATATATGAAGCACATACAAGATAATATGGCATGTTACAGGAAAGTAATGGTTTGATGGGTGAAGTGACCATAAAATAGGAGTGCAAAATGAAGGGTTTATTACTGTGATTCTAATCATGAAATCCATTACTGGAATTACAACAGTAAAATGAAGAAAGAAATTATTTGCTTTAAGGACTGTTAATGCTCCCACGAGGTGGCAGCATAAACGTTTACAAAGAGTTCAGTAAAACACCTTCATACTTTTATCAGAGAGCAATGGGAAAACTGACATTCCCAAACCGGACCACAAGGAGTCTTCTTTGAACAAGAAACGGATCCGGGCGTTATGCTATTACATGATAAGGCGCTGTATCAAATGCAAGGATTATTACGCAAAAAGGAATCGTATATAAAATATGTGGCATTGAACTGATCAGCCTGTCATGTCTTGATCAGATTAGAAATTCAACCACAACAATTTGCATTTATATAGAACCTTTCACTCTGTGTGCTGCTCTCTGGGTGTGGAGGGGGGGATAATAAGACTAATTTAGAGATTGTTATGGCGAACGTTTAAAGTATTGCAATTGAACTGTCTTTACTCAACGCAGGAAATTGTGAAAACATATCTGAAATTCCTAAAAGTTTGTTATTGGCTGGAGCACTAGCAAAATACCAGCAAAAGTAAAATATCTGTGGAGTTCCTTAAAACAAATGCAGAAGACAGGCTTTCACATCAAGGATATATTTAAGAATTTGCCAAATGCTGCCATACACTGAAATGTTACGTTGATGGAGTAAATACATTGCACCCCTTTATGCATTGCTAAATCCTTTATGCATATGAACGAAAGCTCAGAATAAACCATGTGGAGGTTATTGATCATTCCTGGAGGAGGCAATCTCTCAGAGTTCAGCGTTTGCACTAATTGCCTTGGAATTTCTTCTGGTGCATTGTAATATGAACACTTCTAACCTTTACTGAAGAGCCTACGCATGTGATATGGTCATCCCTGAAAGTGAGCACCTTATGTGTGGCATTTAGGAGGCGGTGAGCAAAGTTCTGACCACACTTTCAAGTGTCAGCTCAGTTCAGGGATGTTCGATCACACCAGGTTTGCACAGGCAGCGCAGGGTTCGGGTTGACGCTCGAACAGTTTGTTCCCCCCTCGCATTCTTTAAGGCGCTATTTGAACTGTTCCTGTACACAGCGCAGTGGGGAAATCATTCCATTGTACATCGCAGTGATGTGCAGAGTGTGGGTTGACTTGTTCTTCGCTTTAGAAATAACTGCAAACTCCCGTTTTAACAGAGGAAAGTGGCTTTACAATGAAGTGAAATGGACATACATTCAATTGGAACAAGCTGTGTGTGTGTGTGTGTGTATGTATGTGTGTATGTATATGTAAGCATGTGTGTGTATATGTATGTATGCATGTGTATGTATGTGTGTATATATGTATGTGTGTATGTGTGTATGTATGTATGTATGCATGCATGTATGTGTGTGTATATGTAAGCATGTGTGTGTATGTGTGTTGTGTGTGTAAGCATGTGTGTATATGTATGTATGTGTGTGTGTGTATGCATGTGTATGTATGTATGTGTGTATATATGTATGTATGTGTGTGTATGTGTGTATGTATGTATGTATGTATGTGTGTGTGTGTGTGTGTATGCCAATGTGCTGGAAACTTGCCGACTATCATAAGGTTTGCCCACCCACCCACCCACCTCCCTCCCTCCCTCCCTCCCTCCCTCCCTGTGTGTGTGTGTGTGTGTGTGTGGACAGCGACTGCAACAAGTGGACCTAATTCGTTTTGCAGGAGAACCATCGTCACTAACACCTTCCAGCACCAGACAGACAGACAGACAGACAGACACATCTCCCCTGTGTTTGCCAACCCAACCCAACCAAACCCTCAGCAGCCACCCGGGAGGCTTGTGATGGACGGTGTGTGATGTGATGCCTTGGGACGTGTGGTCCGGGTGTGTGTGGGGAGCAATCGGAGCATCTTCCTGAACGCTTTGAGTCGTGGAAGCAGCGCAGCATCACCACCATCGCCGGAGCCTCTCTGCGTTGTGTCCCCTGTCTCTCCCACCAGGAAAAATTCATCCAAGAGGAAGGACACAGCATGTTGCCTCTTTGCAATCGTTGGGTCAACTGCCTCCCAATGGAAAGCTGCGGGAAACTGCTGTGTGTTTTAACCCAAATTGCAGGTGGGGTGTGACTGTCAGAGGTACCCACCGACCTCCCCCTCCTCCTGGTCCTGGTCCTGCTCTCTCCTCCCCACGGGCTGACACCTCAGCGACTGACTGAGGATGGTAAGTGTTCCTGCTCAGAGGCAAGTCGATGTCGTGCAATTTTCAGGACCACGTTCTCGTCTCGTTTTCAGGGGATGTCAAAAAAAAAAAAAAATTCGGATCTATCTCAAAAAAAAATATGACTCTTTGCACCCCGTTGTTGTAGCAGATTGTGGCAACTCAGAGGTTCGTTATATATTATATATATATATCTATATATTCTATATTATATGTTATATATACATATATATCTCTTGGTTGGGATTGCAAACGTGGATTGCTTGCAAATGTCCCACTGTGACCTTGATGAGACAAGCAGGGGGTGGAAGAGGCAATAGTTATTACCCCCTCTCCCCCCCCCCCCCCCTCCCACCAAAAAAAAAGCTTTGCAAACATGTGGTGTATTACCCATTACCTGCTGGGTGGGTTCATTTACTTGATCTGTCATTTTAGAGGACATTTGCAGTGTTCAGTGGCAGGATTTGTGCAGAGCCACTGCAGTTGCACGAGATGAGATGAAATGACTGCGAATGATTCGCTCTGGGGATTGTGTTGTGTGCCCCTGAAACACAAGCAAACAAAACTGCAAGGACAATGCTATTATTATTATTATATTATTATTATAATGCTATCTGAATCGCAGTGAAATGGCACCCAGGACAGTAATTAAGAGGAATATTGTAAGATAGCATTGAAGTTGAAGCTCGCCTTGTGCTTGAATCCTATCTTGCAATAGAATTCTAACACAGCGACAGATTTGAATGCCTAAATCTGCTTACAATGCTGCTCTCGGGTCCCAAGAGACCTGCACGATTGTACCTGAAGGAGATGGAGATGGGATGCTTTGTGTAAAAAGTCTGTGGTTGCAAATTTGCATCCTCCACAAGCCTTAGGCAGCCAGTTCGAAAAGAGAAGAGAGTTCTTCCCGGTGTCCTGGCCAGCTATTCCCCAAATAAAATGGGTCAGTCACTTCATGGATGTTTGCGGGACATGGGTGTGTGTCACCTACAAAGCCCACAATCACTGCGCTTTGCAACGTACCCGGTGACACGCTTTGAGATGTGCTCCAGCCGTGAAAGGCATTGCATCAAATGTAAGGATTCTCGTTCATCATTATTAGTTCCTGTGGGGGAGCTGGCAACAACACGTCCAAAATAATAGAAAAGGCTTTCTACGATTGATGATCGATAAGTGCTGCGGGACGCTACCCCACGTGAAGGGCACTATGTAAATGCAAGTGGTTGTTGTTGTGGTTGATGATGATGATGGGCTAGAATGTTGGCTAATAAAATAATACTTTTCTATGGAAGAAGGATAATAGACACGAGTAAAACAAATTGAAGCCACCTCAAGAAATATATTCCTTTGGATAAGACTGTTAATTAAGTGTTACCACCAGCAGCACAGTGAACCATTTTAAAATAACCTAACCTGACCTGCATTTCCTTTTTGTAGTATGGCTTTATTAACACATGCTTGAAGTCTATGGTCATAGAACATTTTGGAGAAGAAGCATGGGAGAATCTGAGGTAATTTTCCACATACTGTACTTTTTACTGAATAACTAGTGATACAAGTGGCTCTGGTAAGAATAATGCAAAAGCTGCATTTCTGAACCACGTGAAGAGCAACGTAAAGCAACAACTGTTCAGGTCTCTCGGCAGATACCTGCAAGGATTATTATTATACCTGATAACATTATCTATTCCAAGGCCAGGCCAAATATTGTGGCAGTTTACATCCACAAATCCCCAGCAGGCGGCGCTATTAAGTGACATTGTAGATGAGTGTTTCAGATTGAGATGCAATTCACATCGCTGCAGACCAATTCCACAATGACAAAACTATGGGATAACTACACTTACTGCTTGTCAAAAGAAAGTCAGTTGTTATCAGGTTTAAAGGGAGACACGGTGGCATTAAATCGTCACGGTTATAATTCAAAGCGTTCAATTTATCTTTGAACAGAACAGAAGTTGGAGCCCCAGACAATTTTATGACATTTGGAGTGTATTCAGATGACATTACAATGCAACTGGTAGAGGCAGCTTGCAAATTGTTAGGTAGGTTGTATGCTAGTCTGATAACAATTCATGATACATGTATGATTAATTAAATGCCTTGTATATAAAGTAACAGTCAAATTGTGCTGTGAAAAAACAAACTATTAAATTATTGTTCATTTGAATCGAATGTATAAGTAACTACATTGCACAAAATGTAATGTAGTAAATATTTTGCAAATGTCTCTTGAAATGAAGAATAATTTAAGAAAGTGAACTTCTTAACAAAATATATATTAGTATACTCTGTGAATAATATACAGGATGAGGCTGCTTTTCTTGTGATATTGGGTTTATCCCTAAAAATATTTTCAATATAATTGCATTGTTAGATGCATATTAAATCTGCTCAGTACAATACTTTAATGTGCCCTCCAGATGTGGCGTCAGATGTTTTGTTGAAGCAGTTTGGAGAGTACTTCTTTGAGTTTTGCAAGGTATCCGGATATGATCACATGCTCCGTACTCTGGGAGGTAACCTGATGGAGTTCATTGGGAATATTGATGCTTTGCACAGTTTTCTTTCATTGTCTTACGAGGTATGTTTGAACTTTAGAAATTAATTCTCTTAAATGTCATCAAAACATATTTTATGATTTAGTCTGCCATTTCAGAATGCAGTCCAGGGTACCAGAACTGCAAGTAACGGCTCAGTTGTAAACTGAGGCAGATTATTTTAACATTAATTAACATTTGCAAATTCTATTTGTGCATTAATATTTATGAATTGTGTAGAAATATAGCATACAAAGGACATCTGATGGCTCTGTGAATTACAGTACTCTGTACTGTGTTGTTTGATGTCCAAAGAGCCAAGCTTCCATGAATAATATTTCTTGCCATTGGCAAAGTACTCATTTGAGAAACCAGACCCAAACTGGACAAGTACAATGCTATGACGAATTGTATTTATGTCTTGTGGGTATCAGATAGTCTTTGCACCAATGCCACATCGTTGAGTATAGAATTGTCAGTGTCATTTATGTTATGTAAAAAGAACATGCTCACCTTTTGCAGGAGATGAATGCACCGTCTTTCAGACTAGAAAAAAGACAAGATGGCTCAATGCTATTGCACTATTACTCTGACAGGATAGGACTATGTCACATTGTTCCGGGTAAGAATGGCCAGATAAGATTACCCTCATAATTGTATCCTGCATTATTATGAAGCACAAGGTCACAGTCTGTGAAAGAGATGTAACAATCTAATTCATATCAGTTTCCCTTTCTATCTATCTACTGCCACAGAAATACAACAGAAATACAATGATCACCATGTTCACATTTGAGTAACAAGGTGAATAATCTGGTTGTTGACGTTTCAGAGAAGATAACTTATTTAATTTAATTGAATTCCCATTTCCATGATAAATCACCTGGGTCTTGTAAATAAAACTTCAAATCGACAGAAAAACAAAAAGCCCAAGATAATTTCACTTTAAAAAGTTGCTTCAAAGCATGAGCTTGATAGAGGGTAACTGAACTGAATAGTTATGTGTGTGTACCTAGCTTTCACATACGTCTTTAGACCATAAGTACTTATTTATTATGATTAAGGAGGATTTTGTCTCAACAGAGTGATACGTGTTGTATTCATGCAATTAAATTTAATTTAACATAATACCCATAATGTTTATTTTAATTTCCTGTCGAGCCATGAGTTCTAATGTATTGGTTTGTTTCGCCAAGGCGTGTTGATTCAGAAATGTATCCGTTTTCTTTTTCAATGCATTACCTAGGGCAGAATTCAAGATTTCCTTAATTTAGAGATTTGCTGCTATTAATGAAGCTGAGAATACTGATATTAAATATGACTTGGTTTCTCTTCGACAGGCATAATTGGAGCAGCAGCTTTCGATTTTTTTAATATTGACATCACGATGGAGATTTTAACCTGTATGGAAAACGAAAAAGAAACAGGGAAAAGGGAGCACGTCACTTTTTTGGTAACTCAGAAAGAAGCATATTCACATGAACAATGTACGTCACCAGATCTGTTCGATAATCAGACGCGTGACAAAGAACAGTTAGCTAAACAGGTATGCTGCATTGTTTGTGTTTGGTCACTCAGCTTCTTATACACGTAGAAATCCATCCCCATGCTTCTAAGATTTCATGTCAAATTACTTGAGAGTTCCACATATATATGTTCTCTGTTTCTCTGTTGTGGAGTGCTCACTCTTTTCGCCTCAGAGGGATGCACGCTACTCATCTAATCCATGGAGAGTTTAGGTACAGTTAGGCAAAAAGTAAGGGGTCACCAAAGGATGCATCAGGGTATTTTTGGTACTTAAGCAGCGCAAACCTCGCAGCCTATTATTACAGAGGACTGGTAAGCTTCTCGGTCCTGTCCAGCTCGGTGCACCTTGCCTGTTAGAGCTTTGGATTGTGAGGTTAACAGGGGTTGAGTAGAACGACTGGTCTCGCTTATGAGCCAGGCTGGCAAGACTGTTACTAACACTGCGCAACTGCCTAGCTCGGATATTGGACTGAACAGATAGACCATCACATTAGGATTGACTTGATTCTATTTTCCATTGCCAGACAACTTGTCATTTTGCCGTCAACTCAACTGTAATCATTATATTTGCATGTTAGTGCAGGAACTATCAAAGTAACCACCAAAATACTCATCAATATTAATAATTTACCATTTATTTTGTAAACACAGATGCATGTATTTGTGTATTATACGTCTCATGTGCATAAACAGATTGAAAACACAACTAAACTGAACAATGCATATATAATAAATTCCTGTGTTTGAGGATGTGGACAAAGCAATGAACAACGGAGAACAGAGCGTCATGAAAACCCACGGGGAAACAGTTTGCGAGAGTATAGGACAAGGTAATTTATGAACCACTTGCAAAATCAATACAGATATTTAGAATATCAAAATAACTCCAAGTTTAACACCACTAGACTTACCTTCATTAGTTTTGATTTCATTTCTCTAAAATATATTAATAATATAATAATAATTCTTGCATTTGATATAGTGTCTTTTCACATCTTAGATACGTCTGAAAGTGCTTCATAGAATATACTGTAGAGTGAATTGACTGCATATTTTGTGGGTGAAATGCAGGGTAAAAAATTATTGTTGCAAAATAGCACATAGAATCAATAGCCTTTTCTTTATGAGGGGAATATCCATCAATACCATGTTCACAAAGTAACATCAAGCGATCTACACACACAGTTGCAAGTTAAAACAAGATTCAAGCAGAATTTCTTAATATGTTTCACATCAGGATAAAGCTATGGAATAAAAACATGATATTTTGAATTGTCTTCACAGTCACTGCATCAATGGAGTTTGAACCTGTGTACCCTGACACATTGTGGATAGATGCAAAATCATTTTGTGATGCATTTCCTTTTCATATTGTGTTTGACAAAGAGGCAAGTCTTAATATATTTTTCTTTGCATTTTGTGATATACTAGAACATAATTAAGGTCAGGTCATATAAGACTAATCTCCTTATCCTATTCTCCTTATCCTGTGTCTTTCTCTGGGTATGAATCAATTGGAAATATTGCTATCATTACAATTCTCTGGGAATGTATAAAGACGTCAACCAAATCTGTACTAAATTCTCTGGAGTGAAATGCATTTATTGCATCAGAGTTGTTCTTTAAATGAGTCCAATGTCCCGGTTTGAAGCACCATTCCGGATAATGTATTTCAGGTGTTGATTACCCTGAATGTGTAGAAATACTTTGTGGTGTCTACTGAAATTGCTCTTCACAACTTTGAACCTGTTCCCTCTTGTCCTGCTGTCTTACCATATCTAATTCCATGTTCCCGAGCATCCAGATATACTGTAACATTTTGCATTGTAAACTGTTGATTAATATTATTTGAGTGCATTTAAGTATTAATGATTTAAATGTTTTGCATTGTGTCTTGGCATTTTAAGCTTAGGGTGAAACAAGCAGGAACAAACATACAGAAAATTGTCCCAGGTCTTCAGATAAAGGACATTGAACTTGATAAATGCTTCACCATCATTCGACCAAAAATACCATTCAAAATATCAACTGTCCTGAAATTCATCAATAGCCAATTTGTCTTCAGAACAAATAGGGAAATGATGCCAGACATGTGGAGTGATCGCCCATCTTTGGAATTAAGAGGCGAGTTGGAGTTGAAAACAGTTTCTGCCAAAACAGTACACGTTGCTACAATAATTGTATTTGCTAACATTGGCCTTCCATTCCATCATCTTATAACAATGTCTTTCTCTGGGTATGAATCACAATTCAGTGGGGCTATGTAACAAAATCTATCAAACTTGTACTGGATCTCTACATGAAATGTATTTATTATGCGCCCAATGCAATGTTTCCATCAGTGCTGCTGTTTTACACATTACGTTTTCATCTTCAGCACTTTTACAACAGAGAACTGAAATTCTCATGTTTAAAGTACACTGTAAATATGTAAGATAAGTATGCTCTTTAGTATCATCGAGGTCAACTATTCCTCATTTTCACACTTATTAGTATCACATATGCCACACTCCTCAATCCTTTTTTTTGGTCTTATCTTTCTAGACATTTACATTAAATTCCACAACCACATTTTTTGTGGGGGGTGTGGGGAAGAAGGAACTTATGTTAATAAACATGTGTAGAAAAGGGTATATTATTCAAGAATATCTTTGTGATCATCCATTTTTTCCATATATTCCAATGTACAAGGGGAATCTAGGAAATGCTTCTCATACTCTGCTTATTGCTAATCTTTCTGCAGGTCAAATGGTGTGGATGGAATCTTTAGAATGTATGGCTTACCTGTGCTCTCCTCTGCTACGCAGTTTGGACGAGCTCCAGGAAAGGCACATGTACATTTCAGATATCGCTTCTCACGATGCAACCAGAGACCTGATTCTTCTGAATCATCAGAGACTTGCTGAGATGGAATTATCGAACCAGCTTGAAAGGAAGAAAGAAGAATTGAGAATCCTGTCAAAGAATTTAGAGGAGGAAAAGAAGAAGACAGAAACATTGCTCTATGCCATGTTACCAAGGCATGTGGCTCACCAGCTGAAGGAAGGAAAAAAAGTAGAAGCAGGTAAATGAATTCAAGGTAGTTTTGTAGTTATATGATTAGAATACAGCTTGTTTTACCCTCAAATTTTGAAACTTATTAGATGAATTTCAAGAATGAAAGCAGAACTTAGAATCGTAGAGTCATTGAATCTTACAGCACAGGAGGTCATTCAGCCCATTGTGCCTGTGCTGCCTCTCTGAAAGAGCTATCCAATTAGTCCCACTCACCCGCTCTTTTCTCCATAGCTTTGCAAATTTTTCCTTTTCAACATCTGAAAAAATATGCATAATTGTCATTCAATAGAAATAATCCAATTAGTTGAACATATTACTGCGTGTAGCCACTCTAATCACTCACTGGGTAACGCACCACTAGGTGATGCAAACAGCCCATACAGGTTCCAATTCCTTAATTAGCAGATTGCAGTTGAAGGAACGTTTTGCTAAGGTTCCCTCTCCCACTGATCATAATCCATAAACCTTTGCTGGAAAAGTTACATATGTGGCTGTCAGCTGCGATACCCACATGATCCAATAACCTGCCAAAATTCATGATCGATGCTCCCTTAACAAATAATAAGTTGGAGAGGACATTAGATGAGGACTTAAAATTGCCAAATTGCACCTTAAAATGAGTCAAATGCCTTTATGAAAGGATAGAAGAATAAATTAGAGGAAAAATTGGTGGAAAACATTGAGTACCTTAAATTACATGACACATCATGCAGAAGCTGTTTAGTCAGATCGAACAACCTTAAAATTTGAATTATTTTTGTATTTGTTACTGGTGACTTCAATGTTATTTTCCTCAAATCATTCTTTATTCTTATTACACAAAGCTTTTCTTCCAAAGCTGTTGTTTTCAGAGTCAGGTCAATGCATTGGAGATGATGTTCAGATGTTATTGAGACAGTTACCAGTGTGTTGTGCTTCATTTTCTGCTTCAGGTGAATTTAAGGAATGCACCATATTGTTCAGCGATATTGTCAACTTTACTGTGATCTGCAGTCAGTGTGAACCAATGCAGATTGTGGTTATGCTGAATGCCATGTTCCTGATGTTTGACAGACTAACCACAGTCCATGATGTTTTTAAGGTATCTGTTCTGCCGTATGTTGGGGATACTGTGCGACATTAGCAGATAGTACTTTTTCTTTAAAAAAAGTGGTGGTTATTTGCCTCAAGACAAAATTGCGCAAGAAACCGAAATTGCAAAGAAGATTCCCTTGCCATACTTTGTGTCGGTTTAAATTGAAAAGTAAGATTGCTTGGCAACTTGGTAGTGAATTTAGTTGCACTCATATTTCTCTAACTTTCTTGCTGATGTATCTGAGTGAGCCTTTGCTGTGAATTGTAAAGGTGGAGACAATCGGTGATGGCTACATGGTGGTCGGAGGTGTCCCCATTCCAATATCATCACATGCCGAGAGGATAGCCAACTTTGCCCTGGGAATGATCATAGCCTCCAAAAGTGTGATCGACCCAGTCAGCAAAGAGCCAACTCAGGTACTTTTTTTGTAGATGGAAGGTACAGATTAATACCAATTTTGCCAAAGTAAATACAATGTAATTATACATTACAACATTACATTTGTATAGCGGCTTTCACATCGAGAGGTCATTCCAAGGCGTTGGACAATCATGGATTTGGACCCAAGTAGGGAGGGGAGGGATGGGGGGGGAAGAGGTTGGGATCATCGAGGGTGGAGGGTGGGGGGAGGGTAGCCAAAGAGCAGGTTGAATATAATATACAAATAAAAGCAGAATCCTGAATTGGTGCTGTTGTTCATCTGTCTTTATAAAGATCCGAGTTGGGATCACCACTGGTCCAGTCCTCGCTGGTGTGGTAGGTGAGAAAATGCCACGTTATTGCCTCTTTGGGGATACGGTCAACACAGCTGCAAGAATGGAATCTCATGGGATACCCAACAAGATCCAACTCAGTTACAGTACTTTTAAGTAAAGCCTTTCACTTGAATATTTTCACAGCACATCACTTTGTGTTAGACATGATTTTATTTATCAAAGAAATACAGCAAATTACTAAAACTGAGAATGGTAACTGACTGAAAAGCTACTACAGAAGTGATGTGTATTGATGCAACAAGAACAGCTTTTAAAGTTTGTTTCTACTTTGCCTCGATAACTAAATTTAACTGCTTCAGGGACATAATAATAATAATGATGATGAAACATGTTTTTTCTGTTTTTCTGCAGTATGCTTAAAGGTAAGAATTTTGAAATACAAGAAAGAGGTGAAATCAAAGTTAAAGGGAAAGGGATAATGCGCACTTATTTCCTAATTAGAAATCTGAGAGCCACAGAAGATGAAATCATGGGCAGACAAGAAAGAGAATCAGATTCTGGTCGAGATTCTGTGCAGTCCTCAGTTGATTCAAAGGAGTACGTTGCAGATTACGAAGGTACGATTTAAATACAACATTCGCAGATATCAAATCTAAAATATCTGTTTGAAGATTACAGTGGAAGCCAGATCACATTTCACTTTTCTAGAAAAAAAACTAGATTGCTATTATATTTATAATTATAAATTATTGAATTAATTGAATCAATTGTTACTTACATATGGACAGTATAGTACCTATGGGGTGAATGAACATTGTCAACATGTGCAGGTGAAATGAACAATTGTAGACATTATTGCAGGATATTTAAAGTCACTGTATGGATTTCACTTCAATTTCATTGTCTTATCCGGGGCCAGTGTCATTAGCCCAAACATTTTAACAGTAATCGTCTCAAGCAATTTTCCAATTGTCTATATTGCGTTCATATCACAAATTGTATTTTTTGCAAAGTTGTGTGTATGGCTCTCCTCACGTCACTACTTCCCCCCCACCCCCACCACACCCCCATGCCAGAAGGAAGTGTGCATTCTATCGTACTCTTTAAGTAGTGTGATGGATGTCTACATGCGTCTGACACTGTCCATCACTATCAAGCTACCTTTCTGTGAATACTTAAGAGTTGCTGCTGCTACCTCCGATTCTATCATTTGATTTTGAATGCCACTGGGATTTAGTATATGCTTACACAAACGTCAGATGGCTCATCTCTAGATTACAGACACCCATGTTATGATGGCTAATGAATAAAATGCAACTTTCAGCTGTTCAAACAAAATACATTTTCCCTGCTTAACATGAGAAATTGATTTATGTCCACAAAATACACACAGCCAAAGATCACTTCATAGTGTATCCTGTAAAGTGTTTTGAGATGTGTTGGCGACGGGGTAAGGTGCTATATCAAATGCAAGGATTATTTATATTGATTTGTATTATTTCTGCTGTTTGGACAGACCTCAGAAGCAGCTCATTTGATCTTTGGCAATACACAGTGCCAATGAAATACACCGATAGACCTCTGAGCACTCGATCTGACAGTGACCTGGAAAAGAGACATCCAAACAAAAAGATCAAAGGTTGGTTTAATTTTTGATCAAAGAAGCTTTTCTACGGCTTAGTGGGTCGAGGTACTGCCATATAGTTAAAAAGTCACAGGTTTGAATCGCAGTGTGTGCTGAGTTGACTGATCTTAGTTGAGGAAATAGTTGAGGTGCTACAATTGCCTCAGTATGTCCGCATTAAGAAAGGGAAAATTAGCCATTCCAGTTCTCGTCAGAACTGTCATAGACAAAAGGTCATAGACCTGAAATGTTAATTAATTTCCCTCTCTCCATGAATACAGCGTAACCTGCTATGTGTTCCCAGTGACTTCTGTGTTAATCCCGATAGAAGTAATATTGCTTTCAGTCAAGGAGACAAAATATAAGAGAGGGGAAAATTGCAACGGAGCCAAATGGAAGATTGAAATAATATGAAGAAATTATATTTTCACAGGAAATCCATACAATTCAAAACTCTATGGGAGTTTCCACAACGTTCAGCAACCAGAAGATGAATCCAAGCAGCTTACAAAGAAAAGAGCGGAGCAAACAAACAGCGAACGAAGCCAAGCAAATGTCAAATCAAATCTTTGCATCTTATTATAAAGCGTATGGTCTAAATACAAAACTGAAGATAGTCAGTCAGAATTCACAGTTATGCTGAACAAATAACCCAGTGAAATATACCAACTTAATTGTTTGACTTATATTGAAAATAGAAAGAGTGATTTGGACATTTTTTCAATAATGGATTTATTGTATAGTTTGACAAAATGTGCTACAGCTCAATAAATTCACTAATTTACAGTTCAAACATCAGATTCCTTCAAACGCATCATTCAGTCATTTTAAAATGTCCTGCACAAAATGTGTGCTCATGGATTCTGCAGACCAAGTATCAATTATGACAAGAATCACATTGTGAAAAATTAACATGATTTTATACTAACTCCACTCTTATTTTCTTTCACTCATGTACCAAACTGAAGTGGTTGTATCAATTCCCAAGGATTTGCTCATGAATTCCATATAGTCAGCGGCATCTACCTTCACCCAACAACAACAACAAATTACATTTGTTTATCACCTTTCACGTCAGGAACAGGATCTAACCCACCGAGATTAATGGAATCGTGGGGCCTTTAATAAATACTAATTACATCAAAGCAATTACAGGTAATATAAAAATATACACTTTGTGCTCAATTGGCTGCTGTGATTCGCCCACATAAATATGCAGTTAATTCACTTTACAGTATATTCTGCGAAATGCTTTACGACGTCTGAAAGACATGGTAAAGCGCTATATCAAATGCAAGTATAATTTATTATTACATTTGCCAAAATAACCAATATTTTAATGCCTTTCTTATTTTGGTCTCAATACTAAACGATGAAAGCAAAACATTTTACTTATTCAAATGTTCCTTTGTGGTAGTATTCAAAAACAAAATTGCATGTTAATATTTAGAACACAATTTTTTTGGGGGAAAAATACAAAATGGATTTAAAAGCCAAATCAGTTTGTACTACATTATATCCATGTGGTTTCATGTGAAGCATTTTCCCTCTTATGACTCTTTATAGACACCAAATATACCATTGCACCTAAACAAGTTCTTGCTCCTCTCACCATTTCAAAGTAATAATAATACCCAGTTTCAGAAGATGTAAATCTTGCATAACCACGTGCAATCTTGCAGAAGGTTTCTTCAAAGTGGAAACGAGTCAATGAGAACCTACTGAATTTCTTCAAGTCATTGTTTATTATGGATACGGTGTTGGAGCCACAGTACCATGAATGAAATGACTGACCTCACATGGTCTGGAAACCACCTCTCTGAAATTCCAATGAGTTTCTCGAATGATTATGGCCAATTGCACTGAATTTTCCCTCTTATGACTCTTTATGTTTTTTTGGGTAGTGACTAAAAGGCAGGTCACCTACGAATCGTTCTCTTGAATCGTAGCCAGCTGATCTGAATTCCGAGTTTCTGGGAGCTTGGAGGAAGGACCCTGTTTTCCAGACTCGGCTGCAACATCCACAGGCAAAAGGAAAGTTACAGATTTCACTTTGAACCTGTTGAGACAATGAATAGAAACATCATATCCTCTCCTGCTGGGGAGACATTTATGAAGAATATGGTCTACCAACTATCACCTAGCACTTCCACTTAATGCCTTAACATGAAATTCACAAGATCACAAAAAGGATAAGTTGAAGAATGCCCTTTGGCACATTTGATCTCATGCTTCTAGACTACACACCTTATTACACCAGTAAGCTTAAAATGTGTCCAGCATTCTGACCTCAACCACCCTTTCAGTTAATAATTATCCCGTTTAAGTGCTTCACATTCAAGAACAACTGGAAATATTCACTTAAATCCAATCAAAAATACTTTCATTACATTTGAGCAAACAAAGGCAGAATGTCTTAAATTAACACAAATGTAAATGAAAAGTTGCATTTGCATATGGTTGGATATCTTCCCTGTTCCACCAGCACTGAGCATTCAATAATAATCTAACTTTCCTGCATTTCACAGTACACTGATCTAAATTCATATTGGCTTTCACCTTCCTACCTCAAATGTGTGGGCAAGTCAAGTCGCCCTCGACTATATGAATGACATTTTGATTATTATTAAGTCACTCACTGGTACAAGTAAATTTTAATATTATGATACAGAATGAAGCCACATTTACTATACAGAGGGGTAAATCAGCACATTGGGACATCCTCCCTACGTGAAAGGCGCTCTACAAGTGTAATTTTGTTGTTGTTGTAATGCTACCAGTTTAAATACTCTGCTTGCTTGATATAGTAGTCATTGTAATGGAGAAATTAGAACTAACACATTCATGAAAATATTCTCTCACTTACTTAAATGCCATAAATATCCCTAAGAAACTAGAAACTGATATACTATTTGTTGTGTCACGTTGGCTCTCGTACCTCAAACATATATTCAATATTTTTTCAAGGCAGGATCCCTAATCATTTATAAACAGACTTATGGATTAATGAAGTCACTTTATCAGTTGGATTCTGATAAACTCAGGTGTAGTTATGTACACAATTAAACTTTGGCCAGAAAAAGCTTTCATTATTTTGCCCACAAAATATAGTCAATTCACTTTACAGTGTATTCTGTGAAGCGTTTTGAGACATCTCAAAGACGTGATAAGGCACGATATCATATGCAAGGATTATTATTATTGTAATACTGTACCGACTAGCTTATCTTGCTTACTTGCACTTATGAATGTATTCCTGGAAGGTTCTTGCTTGATTATGTGTGTCTCTAGATCTGACTGGCAAACGTGTGAGAATTTCTTGATCTTTAGAAAGCTTCATGATGGTGCAAGGCTGTGCTGCCGTTTCAAAGCTTGGCTCCGCTCGCTCATTCATTTGGTCAGTCCGCTTTTGATTCGGAGATTTCGATGGTTTACTGCCGACAGTGACGGTTTGCAAGGATGAGATGGAATACCGCCTCACGGTCATTGTGTTATCTGCACGGCACAGTATATGTCTGAGCATTTTTAATTCAAAATATGGTCCCTGCATAGCCAATAGGCACTTAGCAAACAAATTGACCGGCACTTATTTTTTGAGTAGAAATTTTATGCATAAAGTGTTATAACTATTTTCCTATTCAAATTACACTAACTTGGAGCACTTAATTTAGATCCATAATTGTACACTGTATTATCTTACAGCACAGAAGCAGGGCATTCAGCACACAAAATATACAATTCACTTTACAGTATACTCTGTCAAGCGCTTTGAGACGTCTCGAAGACGTGATAAGGCACTATATGAAATGCAAGGATTATTATTATCATTATTATTGTGTTTATACTCCACATGAGCCTCTGCCCCTCCTAATCCCCTCTTCTCATCCCCTCTATTCTCTTCTCCCTTATATATTCTTCTTAAGCATTCCCCCTTTTAGATCCACTGCTGCTTAAATCAATCTCACAGCAATCAATCTCAGGTAGTTGAGCATTTCAAAGGAAGGCAAACAACTGAAGATGTGTTTTTTTTTGGGGGGGGGGGTCAGCCAGGTGTCGTGCTTAAGAGTATCCAAAGCAAACTGAGAATTCCATGCATCCCACCTATACATGGGAATTCCAGAGATAGATTGTCGGGATGGAACGCGCACTCTCTCTCTCTCTCCCTAGAGGGAGAAGCTCCCACATATCTTTAACAACACTGCTGCTCTCTTGACCAGTTTACCTTTGGTTTGCTGTTCCAGCTCAGGAGCAGAGATATTCCTACGTAGGCTGGCGTGAGTTACAGCCTCCTCGTCATTTACGTCCTGATGAAGTGGAGAACTTTTGGTTCTCTCCAGCATTTCTGCTTTCCTTCCAGTCTGGCTCAGCTTCACACGCAGAGCCTTGTTTTCTGACTCCAGTTTCTTGATGTCAGACCTCATTTCTTTGATGATCTGCATCAGGCGCTTGTTACTTTCCATGATGCCGGAAACTGCAGAGCCACAACAGCCAACTAACTGCACCCAGACCAGGTTTGCTCACACAGTAACAGCTTTTCAATGTTTAGCGTCTGTCAGTCCTTTTCCTGGATCAAACAGCCACACGCACAGGAAGGTTGAGTTTATCACTTCTATCAATTGGTTCAGGTGACTAGACACACGACCTTTTAAATCATTTATTTATCAGTTCGGATGGTTTCAACTTTCGGTCTAACACTGGTTTGCACGTTTAAACCAAATGGCGCTGTGGAAAAAGATAGGCATTAATTTACCATTGGGGTTTGATGGAGTTATTTCATTCTTGAAGAATTGATACATTTTCCATCATAAATGCTATTAAATCAATTAAGCAAAAGTATATTCTAAAAACAGGTGCCAGCGTTAGCACATATGTACACGGTAATGTACATGGTAATGGACACTTCATTCAGTTCCAAGTAAGAGGTAAAAATTGATGGGAGGACACAAAAATCCTGCAAACTCTTAACAATTGTCTTTATTCCACATCTGAATTATTTATACTTTGCGTTGGCCAAGGCTCCAATTGTATGGTACCAGATTTCTCTTGTACAATGCACTTAGTGTAGAAAACGGCTTGTTTCCATATGATTTGTTACTTGTGTAAACACCTTTAAACATTTATATTGCTGTAGCGGGTCTATTTTTTACTGTTTCACTCCCCTCTCACCATCACAACACTTTGTTTCAATAACACGTGGAGCTCAGCCACAGTTGCCAGAGTAATCGGAGATACACTCCTGTGTGTTAAATATTGCATGGTCTGTTTGTTTACAACGCAGACGTCAGGGGAATATCATTCGTGTTTCATGCCATGTACCAACATCATACTTAAAGTCAAGATACTGAGCGTGCATCAAAGTGAATCTTGAAATCACTTTTCACTCATTTAATATAAGTGAGTAAAATGCTGTAGGGAAGACACATGAATTTAAAAATGACAAAGAAATCTAATTAAGTCTGAGATGTTACCGGTTACCTGCAGATAATTATTTGGGGAGGACAAGTTTACAGGGCTATGGGGAGAGAGATGGGGGAGTGGGATTGAATTGGATAGATCTTTTCAAAGAGCCGGCACAGACACTATGGACCGAATAGCTTCCTTCTGTGCTGTATAATTCTATGATTCTATGATAACACATTATGCAAAGAAAGATTGAAAACTGTGAGACCTGTAGTTTTCTTTAAACCTTAGTAAGTGGACAAAGTTGATAAGGTCCAGCTGCTTGATTCCTGAGACTGACCGAAAATACATTCCAATTTCAACAGGAAGATCCACAGATTTATTTTTATTTGAGAGACCTGGACTAAGCGATTGATTATTGAGGTTATTCAGATTTCTTACAAGATCACAAAGAAAGCCTTTCAGCACATTCGATCTCATCCTTACAGACTAATGATCTGCATCCAACAAAGCCAGCATTCTCTCACGACTGCACTGGAAGTCTGCCTGGAGGATAAGAGCTAAAGTCTTGTTATGGGACTTGAACCCACAACATTCTGACCTCAGCAAGTTTGCTATAAACCGAACCATGCTGATACTCCTGCCTTCATAAGTATCAAATTCATTGAATAATAACTTTTATTTGCGGTACTTAACTTTGTAACATGGTACTATGGAATATCATCAAGACACATGTCTTGACATGCATGTTTCACCCCAGACGTACTTATTTATACTGGTCAGGTGTGAATTGTACTGTTCCTGAAATTACCTTCATTTGGAAAATAAAAAAGGAAATAATCCAGCACCTTTGTAACCTTGGCCCAACATTAGAATTTTCAAATTCATCTCTGCCTGATACTGACACATCTATTAGGATTCTACTCCATGTCTGTTGAAATGGTCAACGTTTATGCATTTGGCATAGAAAATAATTAAATTGTTAAGAAATCGGTAAATCGCTGAACTATTTATATTGCTGATGGGGATTTTTGATACATTATGAAAAATCACACTGTTAAACTTTGAACTTTAATTAAAAAAAGATTGGTAAGAAAACGAGACATCAAATGTAATTCCTAACCCTAATGTTTTAGCCTTTAAGCACTATGACAAAACTCAATGTAAACAAATGTGAAGCATGGTAGAAGCAAGAATCTTTGCAATCAATCCTTGATACAAAAACTCCATGAACTTGGAAGGTATGATTCAATGCAGTTGATAATCACTACGTTTGAGCTTCTATTCCAAGTATAATGGTGCTTGCCAGAACTAGATAATGAGATTTGCGTATGATTGCCAACTCGATAATAAAGCACAGTGTGTTGAAATCTGGTTCAGATAACATTGATGAACCAACTGCTGAATTCTTTCCGTATGTGATTAATGATGGTATCCATACTCAGTGTTGAGTACAGGGTTGTAAGATGCCTTTAGTGATCTACTATTCTGCATGATTAACGATTAAAGTCAGAAGAAAGCTGTAACCTAGTCTTGGGTTCAGATGACAATTCTAAACCTTTCAATTCTTTGTTACTCATGATGCAAACTGAACCGATTAGATTACAACCTTGTAACTCAAACGTGAGAATCTATTACTCTCTGTGTACCTATATTTATATAAGGTGGACCGTTTATTAGGTCACAATGACAGCAAGAGAACTTAGTCACTCAATAAGCACTTTTTCTTTACTTGAGCTCATCAGAAATTTTACCAATATGATAATAATAATAATCCTTGCATTTGATATAGCGCTTTTCACGTCTTCTCGACGTCTCAACGTGCTTCACAGAATATGTACCAATGTTCTGTTAATGAAAGGTAGAGAAGCTAATTGAATAACATCCACACGTCATCCCATTGCTATGTTAACTGCTAGTATTTCACTCAATACCCACTGGCAGCAATCACTGTAGGCTCTATCTACGTGAAATGGTAATAAAGACACATTTTTATGTGAGAAAATTAAGGAAAATATTTGAGGGACCAAATTGCTTGTATTTAATTAAAATCAAGTACTTGGTTTTAATTTATGACAAGCAACTTGGGATTTTCCTTTAATTGCATCAGTTAACCCTCATGCATCACTGATTTGTTTTCTCAGTGCAAGTCAGTGACAGTTACCATTGAGAATTGTGAATCAAAAGGGAAATATGAAACAGTGAAAGAACAAGCAACCATAGAAAAAGTTTTCTAGTGATGGTTCTGACTCTCGTTCCCGAAAACATTAGAGTTGCAGTAGAAAATAGGGCAAATACCAAAATAGTTCACAGAAGAGCAACATGCAAATGATAAGGAGGCAGAATTCTAGACATATAAATGTGAAATTGTTGCATGAATCCACTGCCTTATATTATGCTTTCATAAAAATCAGGAATAGTGTTTCACAGAAAAGATAGAAATCGCAAATATGGCCCCAATATGTGTCTGATTGGCTTTTGCCTTTAGAGAAAGAAAAATTATACTTTTAAAAATGATGTGTGATTTCTTGCATTGAATTCGTAAGTTTGGATTTTTTTAAAACTTGAAGTATCAATTACAGTGTCCATTAATAATAATAATCATCCGTGCGTTTAATGTAGCACTTTATCACATTGCTGAGACATCTCATAACACTTCACAGAATATACCGTAAAGTGAATTGACTGTATATTTTGTGGGCGAAACAACAGTTTGCAGTAAGCTTCCAACCCAAATAAAGTGGAGGTAATGTTCTTGTGCCTCCATACAGAAAACCCCAGCGGCTATTCCTGTAGCAGATTTATTTTTTTGCTCAGTTGGAAAAAAATGTTTTGTGAACAGAATGTTGGCAGCTTTTTTGTCAGAGCAGCAAAGAGGAAATAAGCCAGGAGTAAGAGGCCTTCAACAACATGGAAGAGGGGAATAGGGAAAGGTAGGGGTTTATGTGGAGTATAAACATTGGCATGGACAGCTTGGGCTGGATAGCCTGTCCACACCCTGCATCAATCTATTCAATGCCATGCAAGTCAGAAGAATAATCCTTGCATTTGATACAGCGCCTTTTCACATCTTCGAGAGGTCTCAAAGCGCTTCACAGAATATACTGTCAAGTGAATTGACCGTATATTTTGTGGGCAAAATAATAATCATAATTAAAAAATGACCCGAGGTTAGAAGACTAATTTGGACACAAGGAGTCTGGTTTGTCGTTCAGTGTAGCAGACATCACAAACTAATGCCTTTTCAAATCAAACTGTGCCACTGTTGATCCAAAGCACACATCTATTGTCACTTATTTTCAGATAGAATAGTTTTGGGCTCACAAATACAATGTTGTAACTTAATATTCCCTTCAAAGTGAGGCTATTGTTTTGTGCGTGCGCTGGCTAAGCTTCTGGCAAAGTCAAGGAACATCTATTACAACTCGGCCTAACATCAATGTAGACATCCAAGGAAAGTTTGCACTGGTTCAGTCAGCACATCTGCTACGGTCCAGATGTTCCTGCTTTGCTTTCTCACTTTTGCGAGTTATTTTCTTGATTTTTTACCTCTGGTTTTGTTTCATTTATTCCATTACAGCTGGAAAATGTGTGGGCTTAACCAATACCGCATTAAATTGCTTAAAACATCCTCCTGATCAGAAAAATGCTATGTAATTTATTGTTGTTGTTGTAGTAGTCACATACAATTCAGGGAGGTCCTTTAGGATCAGAGAAGTCAAGAATGCCTCTTTGCCTAAGGTAGGTGAAAGAAGTTCTCAATATCACAGCAAGCACTTGACACAACATTTTCTTGTGTTTATGAATCTTATAAGTGTTTCATTTATAGCGACTATTCAGCCACTTATAGAAACATTCAGAGAAAATGATCTGACAAGATGCAAAGATACCAGTCACGCACAAAACATTTGCTCTAAATGAAACACTCTATGCTTAGGGTTATGCTTCACTGCAGTGGAACATTTGATTTCAGAACGAGGAATGTGAATGACATTACATGTCGAAAAGACTGTGAAATACCCTTAAAATTAAATTATTTCACATTAAATACATTTAAAAC